TACTTGAAATCACTAATAGAAAAGAAGAGTTATGAAAAAAACACCATGATCAAATGAGATTCATCCCAGGCACACAAGGTTGGTTCAACATATGCAAATCAATAAATGTGATACACCACATCAATAAAAGCAAAGACAAAAATCATATGATCATCTCTACAGACGCTGCAAAAGCATTTGACAAAATTCAACATTCCTTCATGATAAAGACTCTCTACAAGTTAGATATAGATGGAAAGTATCTCAACACAATTAAAACCATATATGATAAGCCCACTGCCAATATCATCCTGAATGGGAAAAGCTGAAAGCTTTTTCCTTAAGAACAGGAACTAGACAAGGATGCCCACTCTCACCACTCCTATTCAACATAGTGTTGGAAGTATTAGCCAGAGCAATCAGAGAAGAGAAGAAAACAAAGGGCATCCAGATTGGAAAAGATGAAGTCAAGCTGTCCCTGTTTGTGGGTGATATGATCCTATATATTGAACAGCCGCAAGCCTCTACAAAAAACCTCTTAGAGTTGATAAATGATTTCAGCAAAGTTGCAGGATACAAAATCAATACACAAAAATCAGTATCGTATCTATACTCCAACAGTGAACATGCAGAAAGAGAAATCAAGAAAGCTAGCCCATTTACAATAGCCACCAAAAAAATAAAATACCTAGGAATAAAGTTAACCAAGGATGTGAGAAATCTCTACAAAGAGAACTACAAAACACTGTTAAGAGAAATTAAAGAGGACACAAGAAGATGGAAAGATATCCCATGCTCTTGGATTGGAAGAATTAACATTGTAAAAATGTCCATATTTCCCAAAGTGATCTACAGATTTAATGCAATCTCCATCAAAATTCCAATGACACTTTTCTCAGAAATGGGAAAAACTATCCAGACATTTACATGGAATAACAGGAAGACCACGCACAGCCAAAGCAATCCTGAGGAAAAAAATAAAGCTGGAGGCATAACACTACCCAACTTTAAACTATATTACAAAAGGCTATAATAACCAAAACAGCATGGTACTGGCATAAAAACAAACACATACTATCAATGGAATAGAATAGAGAATTCAGAAATCAACCCACACACCTACAGCTATCTGATCTCTGATAAAGGCACCAAGTCTACACACTGGGGAAGAGACTGCCTCTTCAGCAAATGATGCTGGGAAAAGTGGATATTCATATGTAGGAGAATGAAACTAGACCCATACCTCTCACCATATACCAAAATCAACTCAAAATGGATTAAATAATTAAATACACATCCTGAAACAATAAAACTCCTTAAAGAAGACATAGGGAAAATACTCCAGGAAGTAGGAGTGGGTACAGACTTCATGAATATGACCCCAAAAGCACAGGCAACCAAAGGAAAAATAAACAAATAGGATTATATCAAACTAAAATGATTCTGCACAGCAAAAGAAACAATTAACACAGTGAAAAGACAACCAGAGTGGGAGAAAGTATTTGCAAAATACACATCTGACAAAGGATTAATGTCCAGAATATACAAGGAACTCAAACAACTTTACAGCAAAAAACCGAATAATCCAATTAAAAAATGGGCAGGGCCGGCCCGGTGGCGCACTGGAGAGTGCGCCGCTTGGGAGCGCAACAGCACTCCCTCCGAGGGTTCGGATCCCATGTGGAGACTGGTTCCCGCTCACTGGCTGAGCGCGGTGCAGGCGCAACACCGAGGGTTGTGATCCCGTTGCCGGTCCCTGGTACGGGCGCGACACCGAGGGTTGTGATCCCGTTACCGGTCAGTAAAAAAGACAAAAAAGAAAAAAAAAAATGGGCAAAGGAGCTGAACAGGCATTTCTCAAAGGAAGAGATATGAATGGCCAACAGATACATGAGAAAATGCTCAACATCACTCAGCATTTGGGAAATGCTAATCAAAACCACTTTGAGATACCAACTCACTCCAGTTAGGATGGCTAATATCCAAAAGACTGAGAATGGCAAATGCTGGCGAGGTTGCAGAGAAAAAGGAACTCTGATACACTGTTGGTGGGACAGCAAAATGGTACAGCCTTTATGGAAAATGATATGGAGGTTCCTCAAACAATTACAGATAGATCTACCATATGACCCAGCTATTCCAATGCTGGGAATATACCCAGAGGAGTGGAAATCATCATGTTGAAGGGATACCTGTACTCCCATGTTTACTGCAGCACTATTTACAATAGCCAAAAGTTTGAACCAGCCCAAATGTCCATCATCAGATGAATGGAAAAGGAAACTGATATCTACATAATGGAATTCTACTCTGCTATAAAAAAGAATGAAATACTACCATTCCCAACAACATGGATGGACTTAGAGAAAATTATATTGAGTGAAACAAGTCAGACTCAGAAATAGCAATACCACATGTTCTCACTTATTTGTGGGAGCTAAAAATAAATATACAAACAAACAAAGCGAGGGGAAGAAGACACAACAATCACAATTCCTTGAACTTAAGATAAGTGAACAGATATGATGTAGTGGCAGTTGGGGAGGGAAGAAAGAGAGGGGAGAAAGAGGAATGGGTAAAGGGACACAAGAACGCAAATCAACCACAATATATATTGAGAAGTTAAAAAAAAATTTCAAGAAGCTAACACAATAGATATTCAATATATGTTTTTGCCGTTGTTTACGCAAAGAACATAGCATATTAAAATATTAAAAATTTAAAAGCATAAATCACATCTAAATTATCAATTTAATCTTTCAGAAAATCTATGGATTAACGATTTTTAAAAAATTCCACTTCTATAAATACATATCTACTTAACCCAAGTGAGTATATATTTATATCCTTTAAGTTACTTTTACTTAAGCGTGTCAGGCAATCAAATACTCATAGTGCCTCTAGAATGTCATTTATAGAGATCTTTATTGCTCAGTGAAAATAACTACTTCAAATGATATTTTTATA